CCAAAATAATACTCCAGTGATACTATAAAAAACACTACTCTAGCCACTCACACTTAGGGGGGCATCATGTCATATTTTCTACCACAATTAGACACTAACACGACTAGCTAATCTGAGTAGCATTGCTTGGATACAAATACAATTGTACAACTACCTAACACAATGTAGTCACCCACAGATACAGTGGTAGGCTCCTAACAGCGCTCGGCAAAGCCGCGCCGGTTTTTCTAGTGCCAATCAAAATCGACTAGAACAAAAAGAGGTGGGAATCAATGACCGGAAACTAAAGGGAGGAAATGAACACATGTCCAAAGTATGTCACTGAGACGTCGATTGCCAAATTTGACTACTTGATAAGTGTAGTGTAGTTGCCCTTTTGTGATATCAAATTGCGTTATTACTAAAACATAACATATACTGCAGCCATAAGCAAGGTTTATTTCCCTTGAATATCAACTGATGCAAACACCTAATACAAGCATGCAAGCACACTTCCTAATTTGACTCTGCTGAACATCTGCAGTGTGCAGTCAAGTATTCTTGAAAACTGATAAGCTAGAGAACAGTCACTGTTACTTATCTCCAATCTGCTAACATAACGGATTTTAGCTCTTTAGGTATTCTGTGCAGAAAAAATTTCAGTTATACATTGCACTATCCCTTAGAAACTTATCTATTTGAAGCAACCAAGTACTACAAACTGATAGAAATTTCACTGCCAAACACCTGCGAACCAAACTGTGAAATCACTAAATCGACAAAGGGAACATGAAAGAGATGACCAAGGAATTACCTAGGTACTGCGTGGGAGGCAGGGCGCCGGAGCCTGCATCGTCGACGTGCGGGGGCGGATGCCAGGGGCCGAGCACAGGGTGCCAGGAGCCTGCGTCGTCGGCGCGTGGGGGCGGGCGCCGAGTGCGGGACGCCAGGGGCCGGGCGCGGGATGTCGGCGCGCGGGGGCGGGCGCCGGGCGCGAGAGCCTACGTCGTCGGTGAGTGGGGCAGGTGTCGAGTGCGGGACGCCGAGCGCCGGGGGCTGGTGTGGGCGGCCACGGGCGCGGGGCTGGCGGGGGGGACGGCGGCGTGGTCTGGGTTGAACGCGGCAAAGTGTTTGAGTGTGTGCGTGTGTGTGCGGTCGGGTGCGGGACTTAGGGTGGTTACGAGGGAGGTTTGCCGAGTGCCCTCGATCTAGCACTCGGCAAACCCCTGTTTTGTTTTTTTTCATTTTAAAAACCTAAACTACTACGCGTGTGTGGGGCCCGTAAAGCTATTTGCTGAGTGTCCTAGTTCTGACACTCTGGCAAACTTGCCGAGTGCTATATGGCGGACACTCGGCAAACCCGTTTTATGTTTTTTTCCATTACAAAATCCTAAACTACTACGCGTTTGTGGGACCCGTGAAGCTGTTTACCGAGTATCCCAGTTCTGACACTCGGCAAATGGCAAGTTTGATGAGTGCCATCAGGCAGAGTTCGCAAACTTATTGATTTTGTACTCATTTTATTCTATTATTTGAATCACTCGCAGTTCAAATTTGACTTATTATTTCATGCAGTTATAGCTCAAATTCCTTGAAATGCAATAAATTAATTAAATATAGCAAAACAGATCCAGAAATATACCAAATCTTAACATGGAGTACCACATGTTGTATGCGGACAGTAGAAAAAGTTTCAAGGCTAGAAGTGAAAAAAAACTTATTATTTCATGCAGTTGTAGCTCAAATTCAATGTATATCAATTAAAATTCTATAATCGCACTTAATAAATTAAAATTATCAAACGAATCCAAAATATTACCAAAATTACACATGAATCAATCTTGTTCTCTATTGCCTATACAAAAAGTTTTGAAGTCAAACCCCAATTCGACCGTCACTTTGACTCCAAATCTTACCGAATCATTCTCAACGCTACGATTCTTCTTCTGAGGTACTTCGGTTTGTAAACATCGTACGTGACAGATTGTTCGAAACCTTCTTAATTTTTTACCATGGCCTCCACGTATGATATCATGAGATCTTGACAAATCTCATGATTTTCAGACTTCGTTTGCTTTTTTAGAATTTAAAAACCATTCGGCCACACCTTCGTGGTCATGTTTCCTGAACAAGATGTTCAAAATTTCTTTTCATTTCCTGGGTAAGGCCTCACATCGGACTCAATAACATGAATATCATTTTTCTACTCATTTTATTATATTATTTGAATCACTTGCAGTTCAAAATTGACTTATATCAAAAAATTCCTTAAAATGCAATAAATTAATTTAATATAGCAAATAGATCTAGAAATATACCAAATCTTAACACGGAGTACCACATGTTGTATGTGGAGAGTAGAAAAAGTTTCAAGGTTAGAAGAGAAAAAAACTTATTATTTCATGCAGTTGTAGCTCAAATTCAATGTATATCAATTAAAATTCTATAATCGCACTTAATAAATTAAAATTATCAAACGGATCCAAAATATTACCGAAATTACACATGAATCAATCTTGTTCTCTATTGCCTATACAAAAAGTTTTGAAGTCAAACCCCAATTCGACCGTCACTTTGACTCCAAATCTTACCGAATCATTCTCAACGCTACGATTCTTCTTCTGAGGTACTTCGGTTTGTAAACATCGTACGTGACGGATTGTTCGAAACCTTCTTAATTTTTTACCATGGCCTCCACGTATGATATCATGAGATCTTGACAAATCTCATGATTTTCAGACTTCGTTTGCTTTTTTAGAATTTAAAAACCATTCGGCCATACCTTCGTGGTCATGTTTCCTGAACAAGATGTTCAAAAATTCTTTTCATTTCCTGGGTAAGGCCTCACATCGGACTCAATAACATGAATATTATTTTTCTACTCATTTTATTATATTATTCGAATCACTTGCAGTTCAAAATTGACTTATATCAAAAAAATTCCTTAAAATGCAATAAATTAATTTAATATAGCAAATAGATCCAGAAATATACCAAATCTTAACACAGAGTACCACATGTTGTATGTGGAGAGTAGAAAAAGTTTCAAGGTTAGAAGAGAAAAAAACTTATTATTTCATGTAGTTATAGCTGAAATTCAATTTGTATCAATTAAAATTCTATAATTGCACTTAATAAATTAAAATTATCAAACGGATCCAAAAATTTACCAAAATTACACATGAATCAATCTATGTTCTCTATTGCATATACAAAAAGTTTTGAAGTCAAACCCCAATTCGACCGTTACTTTGACTCCAAATCTTACCGAATCCTTCTCAACGCTACGATTCTTCTTCTAAGATACTTCGGTTTATAAATATCGTACGTGACAGATTGTGCGAAACCTTCTCAATTTTTTTACTATGACCTCCACGTATGGTATCACGAGATCTTGACAAATCTCATGATTTTCACACTTCGTTTGTTTTTTTAAGAATTTAAAAATCATTCGGTCACACGTGGTCGAGTTTTGTGAACAAGATGTTCAAAATTTCCTTTCATTTCTCGGATAAGGCCTAACATGAATATCATTTTTCTACTCATTTTATTATATTATTTGAATCACTTGCAGTTCAAATTTGACTTATACCAAAAAAAAAATCTTGAAATGCAATAAATTAATTTAATATAGCAAACAAATCCAGAAATATACCAAATCTTAACACGGAGTACCACATGTTGTATGCGAAGAGTACAAAAAGTCTCAAGGTCGGAAGAGAAAAAAACTTATTATTTCATGCAGTTATAGCTCAAATTCAATTTATATCAATTAAAATTATATAATTGCACTTAATAAATTAAAATTATCAAACAGATCCAAAAATTTACCAAAATTACATATGAATCAATCTATGTTCTCTATTGCCTATACAAATAGTTTTGAAGTCAAATCCCAATTTGACCGTCACTTTGACTCCAAATCTTATCGAATCCTTCTCAACACTACGATTCTTCTTCTAAGATATTTCGGTTTCTAAACATCGTACGTGACAGATTGTGCGAAACCTTCTCAATTTTTTTACCACAGCCTCCACGTATGATATCATGAGATCTTGATAAATCTCATGATTTTCAGACTTCGTTTGTTTTTTTAAGAATTTAAAAACCATTCGGCCACATGTTCGTGGTCGGGTTTCGTGAACAAGATGTTCAAAATTTCCTTTCATTTCCCGGATAAGGCCTCACACGGGACTCAATAACATGAATATCATTTTTCTACTCATTTTATTATATTATTTGAATCACTTGCAGTTCAAATTTGACTTATACTAAAAAATTATTTTAAAGGCAATAAATTAATTAATATAGCAAACAGATCTAGAAATATACCAAATCTTAACATGGAGTACCACATGTTGTATGTGGTGTGTAGAAAAAGTTTTAAGGTCAGGGGAGGAAAAAAACTTTTTAATTTGCCGAGTGCAAAAATAAAACACTCGGCAAACGAACCCATATGCCGAGTGCCAAATAAAAACACTCGACAAATATTCTCTTTGCCGAGTGTCACTAACTGACACTCGGCAAAGTTCTAACGGCCGGCACCTTGGTTGACGGGCGGCACACGTGGCGGTCTTTTGCCGAGTGTCTTGTTGTTTGCCGAGTGTTTTATTTTCTGCACTCGGTAAATAAGTTTTTTGTCGAGTGCATTTATTTTGCCGAGTTTTTACCTGTAGCCACTCGGTAAAGATACTGTTTGCCGAGTGCCCGAAGGAATGCACTCGGCAAACCACCAGACACTCGGCATATATACTGTTTCCGATAGTGACTGGTGTTAACAATTTTGCACATACGTATAAATGTAATGCCATTATTATGCCAGTATATATGGGTAAAAAAAGGTAGGATGCAGATAATGAGAGCTATATAAACAGCAAACATGCCACGGCCACGGTTCGTCTGGCGCTGAATAACTCTGCCAAAACCACGACACAGCACGTCGGCACTTGCCATGTGGACAATATACTATATGAAGATCAACAGAAACAGATCAGAAAGCTTCGTCCCGATCGATGGATGGATCAGTAGTAAAACTGCTGATTGGTGGAGTAGGTCTGTCCGAACTGCCACCACGTCGGCGCCACGTTCAGGAACTGTATGTACTGCCCGCCGGTGCTAGTGACGGCGAAGCTGAGCGCCTGGCAGGTGAGCCCCGACAGAGCCTGCCAATTAGCGCCCCAGTTCCTAGACATCTGGATCCACCCCGTCTTATCGCCCTTGACCCAAGCGGCTGCCACTGAGCCGCTGCCGCCGAGGTTCTGGATGCTGACGAGCAGGAAGTAGTTGGAGCCGGCGATGTTGAAGCGCACACCGCCGCTGCGCGAGCACTTGACCTGCTGGTACAGGACAGGGATGATGCCGCCCTGGACGACGCCGATGTTCTCCCATGCCGGCTGCGACATGTCGAAGTGCGGGCGTCCCGGGCCGCACCAGCCTCCGTTGGGGAGGCCGTAGTTGGGTGGGCACAGGTTGGTGGCCGTCACGGTGACCTGGAAGTTGTGAGTTGCTACTGTGGTGGATGATCTCCTAGCTAGGTTCAGTGCTTAAATAGGAGGAGGCAGTGGCCTGCTGGAGATTGAAGGGAGCTGGAGCTGAAGAAACTTGTCAAAACTAATTAAGCGGGAAGATGAGCGGCGATAATGTCGTTGGTGTTCTGTCGATCGTGCATCTCATTTGATTCTCATCTCATGGAACACGTAATGCATTTGCGCGGTGCGAACTGGAAGCACATGATGATGATGCTCCTCCACATGCAGTAGTGCAGGTAACTGCTAGTTTTTGACTTTGATTGCGCGTAGTACAGTATGTCAGAACGGTTGATCAGAGAGTTCAGAGAGCGCGGGGGCTGATTTGTTTTTGCAACCAACATATTCTTTCCATACTGCAACTAGGCGCGGCGCATAATTTAGTGGGTGGAACCAGCTCAGTTGGCACCGTTAGTGGATGGATGAATGGGGTCATCTATGGAGGATTCCGGCTTAGATTGGGGCCGCCGTGTATCTCAGTCTCATGGTGGAATGAAAGATCAAGCATGTGTCTTTGTATGATTGGAGGAACAATATAATGTGGCTTCAAATTTAACAGCGTGTGTACTTTCTGAAACTATAAGTATTCCTTCCTTCCCAAACTATAAATCGTTTTGATTTTTCCTTTTTTTTTCATGATTGGGTCTGAGCCCGTGTTTCATTAAGCAGACATGAAGTTTAAAGGTTACAACAATGTTTCCATTCTTGCTAGTGAGACCGGAACACTAAGCAAGCAAAATCATTAACGTTGTAATATACGGCCGTAGAATTGAGCGACTAAGGCAGCCAACCCCGGACCTACGTGACAGTCGCAGCCGTACCTTTCCCGCACTACGTACCTGGGAAGAGCGCACGCATTGCCTCCTTCATGGGTGATAGCCGCAGAGCGAAGGCTGATGAAATTTATTCAAAGGATACCTGATCAGGAAGCTCCGTAGCAGTTTAAATGCATAGTAAAATTTATGTTTATAAAAAAAGCCAAAATGACATACTGTTAGAGACGTGTAAAATCTAGGCTCAGTTGGCAGAGAGCCAGGATTCTTAGGTTCTTCAACAATGTGCAAACGGAAAGATCGTGCTTTTGTTGGCGGAAGGTTTCATAGCCTAGTAACTGTAACTCATGAATACCTCTAGGATCTGGATTTGACTTTGGGAATGAATTTTAAGGTTGGTTAACTAAAAGTCATCCATGTATCACTGGCGGCAACCCATAAAATAATACTGGTTATCTGCACAGATTTAAGAGTGTCGTTTCTCGGTTATAGTTGAAGGCTAAGGTTCTTTCTTCGAATGATACCTTGGGGCGTTACATGTTTTGTAAATTTTTTAATTGAATTGTTAAATTAAATTAACTCTTTATATATGCTGCATGCGGATGGAAAGTGTCATGGATGCCTGTATTCAGGACTTTATGTGCATCAGCACATGCCCATAACTACCAGACTTTGACGTGCTCGAGCTAATGATTGGTTCTGATGCTTGCATTTCGTTGTTCTAGCTCCTGGCTGCTGTAGTTAGATTAACTAGTCCATCAATCTTTGCGCCTACATGTGCTAGATCTCAAGAGAGACATATATAAGTATATTTTTTCCTTAGTACGACCTATAACTAATCAAAATTTCTTATCTATTTGCTTTTTCTTTATTTTTTTGTTTACCATTTTTAATTTAACACACTTATATACTTATATATACTCTATAATTTCTACTGATTGATAAACTTATCAATTACTTTATATGTTTTTCATCCATATCTATAGTTTTTGTGGTTCTACATGGCACTTCATGTGTGTCTTCATTATCCATTTTGTTCGAACCCATTTTGTTTGAACCCAAGTTTAAGTTGTGGTGGCTTAATTTGTTATACCACATATCTTATGATGATATCAATCTAAGTTTATTTTTTACTTTAAAACTTAAATATTGTTAGCTGCATCAATTTTTATACGCATTAAGTTGAAGGTCTTGTACTTGTTATAACTTTTATTCAATTTCCTTTTGTATTTTATTAAATAAAATAAGGATTTTGGGTGTCTTAATTAATATCTATGATGCCATAAACCATCACTTAAGCCCACACACCACGGGACTCAAGATTGGCAAGGAGCTTAAAGTGACATCTAAGAGGAGCCCAACAGTGGTGAAGCTAGATGAGATTGAAGTGGGTGCGCTTGCCTTGTGTGGGTACATAGACTTGTGTTATGGAGGGTATATATATGGTGAAATTTTAGTAATTATAACTGATTTTCAATTTGTGGGGCGCATTTGCACCCCCTAATCACAATACAGCTTCGCCCCTAGGGCCAAATGATCTTAATTAACATCAAGAGGATATTAGTATTTAAGCCTAATTTTTTTTACTTCAAGTGAATTCAAAACTAGGTGCCATATGACTACCTTTGGTCTGAAAGAAAGATTTTTAGAACAAAGGTGTATGAGTTATCTCATTATGGTGTGTTATAGTTTAGCTATAGGTGAGTGCTGAACCAACCACGAGCTTTAATTACCATGTTATAGATTAACTTCATAAGATAGTATATGTGTTTCTGTTTTCCACTTGGCACAGTCTATGGCTCCAATGCAGCCGGCGTGGACTTGCATTGGCTCCAAGTTGATGTAATGTAACGCTTTCTTTCAGGGGTCAGCGGCGCGGGTGTCGTCTGTGGTGGTTGACGATGCCAGTGGTCGGGTTCACGTCCCTTTGGACTTCCTTGTGCCATGAGATCGAGTTCTGCCGAGAGATACCAGATATTCAGGATGCAAGCGGCGCAAAACAGGCCCACTGGCTGAGGCGGTCCAGCCTGCTAGCAAATGCGGGACGCTCTCAGGACCCGCAAACTCCTGCGACTTCCTTCGCGTGCCGCGTGCGACTCGTCTCCGTCGCCGCCACCTCCGCTAGGTCACGCGGCTGCTCAACGCCGCACGCAACAGCGCTCCCCCGACAGCTCAACGCCGTGCGCAACAGCGCTCTTCAACGGCCGCTCCACCCGGCTGGCCGTCTCCATGGCCGAGGTGCCCGCCGTGGCGCCGATGCCGCTCCGGCCGCCGAGGCTCCCGTCGCCAAGGGGAAGGGGAAGGGCTATTTAATTTATTCGCGTAGTGTATACTATAGCCTGCAGTTACCTTGCTGTTAACTTGCCTTAATTAATCTACTCCCACTACTCAGCCTGCAGTCTACTATGTAACAGAAATGATTCACCAATTAAGGACAATCCTTGCTTATATTTATAAATGATATGATTACGGTTTCTTATACACTGAATGAATAAGAAATGCAGCATCTCTCTGCATGTTTCTCTGAATAAGAAGCAGCTGGTTCAGTTACTCAACATGTTTCTCTGAATTTCTTTTAACTTTGGTAAAATTACTATGTTCAGTGTATATTAATTTTTCCCCCTCCTGTACTGCAGCCCAGCATGTCAAATGTTCCGTCACAGTCTCAACTACACGAAGCTGGGTGCTCATCGGCGACCTCCCCTTTGATCGCCTCTTCCGGAACAAAGCGCAAAAGGCCCAGTGGTAAATCAACAGAAGCCTTAGGCAACCAAGCGGTTCAAGCCTCCAATGGCAAGGAAGCTGAACTCTCCTGTGGTGACGAGGTCCCCAATGATGAGACTACTAGTGTCTCCATTGGTTGTGCGGCCAAGGTCACCGTCACTTGGCCTGCAGAGGTCACCGTCACGGAGCCCGCCGAGGTCACCGGCACGCAGCCCGCGGAGTGGAGCTGCTCATTCAGGCTCTCATGACCACGGTAACTATGGACCTCAACTATTTGTCTGGATGGTTTCTATTTGAGACTGTAATGAACCTGAAACATTGATCTTCATTGCACAAAAAAACCCCTGCGGATCCTGCTAGGCCGTGCAGGTTTGGCCACTAGGCCTAGTGCAGCAAGCGGACACCCGCAATGCCTGCAAATTGCGTTTGCGGCAAGGTGCGGCGGCTTGCAGGTGTCTGCAGACCGGCCCACTTGCATGGTTCCTTTAACTGCGCAAGGCAAGTGCCGAAACTAACCGTAGTTATTAGCCAGTAGGATTCTGAACGAAACATGTGGAGTGCACGTTCTCGGAAATCATATACATGTATAGTGTGTAGTAAGTATATATCTACAACGTTGAAAGAAATTAAGTGCAGGCCTTGAGGACCTCCCACCTTTCTACTTCTTTTTAATAAAATACGTGTCGAAAAAAAAAAAAGACCTCCCACCCTTGCCATTTGACCGAACCGTAAGAAATGGCGATGGGAAGATCCAAGCACTCTGCTGCTTGCAGGTTTTAGTAGTAGAAATTCTGTGTTGTGGTGTAGGTCTGTCCGAACTGCCACCACCCAGCAGGCACCACATTCCAGAACTGAATGTACTGCCCGCCGGTACTGGTAACGGCGAAGCTGAGCCCCTGGCCGACGAGCCCAGCGAGCGCCTGCCAGTTGGCGCCCCAGTTCCTGGACATCTGGATCCACCCCGTCTTGTCGCCCTTCACCCAGGCGGCGCCCACGGAACCACTGCCCGCGAGGTTCTGGATGTTGACGAGCAGAAAATATTGGGAGCCGGCGATGCTGAAGCGCACGCCGCCGGTGCGCGAGCACTGGACCTGCTGGTACAGGACCGGGATGACGCCGGCACTGTAGACGCCGATATTCTCCCATGCCGGCTGCGACATATCGAAGTGGGGGCGCCCTGGGCCGCACCACCCGCCGTTGGGCAGCGCGTAGTTGGCCGGGCACAGGTTGGTGGCGGAGACCGTGATGGAGTTGCCGGGCTTGCAGGACTTACCGCCCGGACGTGACGTGTCGCAGGTGATGAGGTAGCACTGCCCGCACGACGCGCCGTCGTTGAACAGCGTTGAGCTCAGCGCCGCGTTGTTGACGCCGTACCCGGCGTTGTACAGGTTGTCGTACCCGCACGCGCCACCTGCATTGGTACGTGCATGCGCGCGGTTAGCAAAATGTGCGTAGCTCTTGCGGCAAAATGGATGCAATGTATAATTATTAAGAGCTTGCTTACCCATGGTGCCGGAGCCGTCGGGTCCGCCGTAGAACGTGGCGGTGCCGGAAGACCAGCCCGCGGCGGCGAGCGCTAGGCACGCTGAGAAGGCTACGCACAAAATCAGGGGCCTCTTCATTTTCACGACTACGATCGAGGTGGATTGGCAATGGAGGGATCAACCGTACGTGTTCTGGACTTATGCGATGAGATGGGATGCATGGAGTTGGCGCAGGCCAGTGCTTAAATAGTGGATGATCTAGCTAGCTGTGAAGGGGCAAACCGGAGGAAAGAGAGCGACAACTCACACGATAGGTACGGTGGGGCCATGGGGATATCGATCCATTAGGGAATGATGGTCGTGCCTTGCGCGCGTCAGAGTACATAGTCAGAACAGAGGAAATTCGGCCGTGTTCCATCGAAGCAAAAAGCACATGCATGCAGTTGCAGACGCCTCTTGCACGACGATACTAGCTAAGCTCCAAGGCCTGACTTTGGAGATGGAATTAATCGTGGACAATTGCTTTAATTTAATTTATCTGCGTTTTCATATGCTAATGATTAGCCTATATAATATATAGGTTAGCAACGAACTATCAACTAACCCGAATTCGTTCCACATTAGTTCGTTGAAACTCTGATCAACATCGCAACCGCTCTGGAACATCAATTTGTTTCGTTGGTGGCTACCGAGGAGATGTGTCACCGTCACCGATACATGCATCATGTTGTAAGTTGTAACTACCTTAACCCATCAGTCCACGCCGAGCCGTTACTCCATCCGTTCAGAAATGATAAGCTCATTTTGATCAAACAAAATAGATTGTGACCCATAATTTATCTTACAATATATGTCTATATTGCTAAAAAAATTGATGTTATCTTAAAGGCACTACGAACACAAATCTACCGATACAAGTTTTAAGTCCTAAACTCATATATAATTTGATTAATTGTTGATCCAACTGTACAAAACTTGACTTCTACCTGATCAAAGGTATATTAATTTGTCATTCTGAACGGGAGTAACTTGCAGGAGCTAATTATTGTTATCTAGCGAGTTTTGCCCATTGGAGTTGCTTCTTAATCTATCCGGTAAATAAACAATTTAGGGTTTCGAGTCCATGCAGGTCATGACCTAGTAATGAATGTTCCAGTACTCTATGAGAAATAGTAATTTATTTGGGTTGACTCATACTTGTCTATGTAATCTACCGCTATTGACAAATTCAGCTAAGCTAGCTTAGATAGACCCAGATGATGAGTTAGTTAGTTAGGGGCGTTGCTTGATCATCTTGGATGAATAGAACCAGAAGAATATATGGGTTGTTGAATCAATCATTGAAATGTGCAAGGCCATGCTTGGATGATGTTTTGCTACGATCATGTGCTTTTGTGATCATTTGATTGAATTCCATCCCATCATGAAGGCAATTTGGAGTTAGCGCGCTTCAGAAAATGGTCATACCTAAGAACATCATTAATAGTCGTACGTAGAATACTTGTTGGAGTTCTCTTCTGGTGGTGTAGGTTGTTGATTTAGCTGACGCTGAACCAATTTTGTGCTTCATTTCCCAAGTTATTTTAACCGATAAGACCATGTGCTTATATTATTATTTTTCCACATATATAGTAGCTCAAGATAGATCAAGGTAGGTATAGCAGACAGTCTTCCATAGCGCGTAATACACTGTTGTGCTTTTCACGCCTTAAAAAAGAGAGGTAAGATTAAAGTGCAGTGGTGTAATTTTGCAAATACATTAGAAGGGCTGCTTTATAGATTTTGGAGATATTGATTCAATTAACATCTAGCTACAAGACACATCACACTACATTCACATCTTTTTAATAAAGATTAGATCAGTATTCTCTTAAGTGTCATTGTTGTATGTGAAAATCTTTGTGACAATTTGCTTTGCAATTTTAGAGTTTAGTATTACTAATAACTTATTCCACTACAATTCTACAAAGATATTAAAATTACTGATTATGTCAATTCCAACCCAAGAAGACAGTTTATATTAGTAGTTCAGAACCAAAACCATGAACAAATGTGCAATATATGAATTCAAGTATTTGTCTTCAGTGGTGATGAACCTTTGATGTAGCACTCATATGTCTCTTTTAACATATATACCCACAAGGGTGTATCTAGTAGGGAAGATCCTTACATGTTAACATCTAGAAAAAACATCATACAAGCAGAGTGTGTCAAGTCACATGCAAAACATGGGTAATTTTCTTTTTGCATAACTCCTCATCTTTTCCAATAAAAGGGCTTCAAGAAAATGTACAAGATGTGGCAACATAGTGATAGGATTTTGCGTATGTCAACATGGTGTAGTAACATGTGTTATGGTGATTTTGTTATACATGTGTAAGAAACTTGGACCCTGGTAATGGTTGATTGACAATATATATAACTATTAGGACTAACAATGTTGGCTAGTATACAAGGTACGGTACTTAGGGTTTGTTTGGATCCTAGGGCTACAAATTATCCCATCTTGTAAAAATGAATTAAACATGAGCTAATTATGGGCTAATAATAGGGCTAATGGACTCTAACCACCAATTAACCCCTATTAGCTCTTATTAGCCCACACTTATCCTTTCTAATTTGTATGAAAAAACATGGGCTAATTATTAGCCTCCTGATCCAAACACCCCCTTAGTCTTCTAGATGCAAGAGATGGACTTGAGCAAGGCTACCATGGAGATTGAGGAATCAACAACTCCAATGAAGATCAAAGATAAGCATTGAAGATCCTAGGCAAGTAAGAAGCTTAAGACATCATATAAGTGAAGCCAGGACAAAAGGAGGCAAAGATTTCAACTCAGATGGGCACCTGATAAAGCACTAGAGAAAGGCAACAAAACTCTTGCTGGTGCTCGCTGGAGATTCACGGTGGGTATAATCCAAGGTAGTGAAGAAAGGCCCAGATGTATACTTCCAGTATGGTCACCAGAGAAGTGCACTGGAGTTACAATCTAGAGGTAGTGTTGGACCACAATGGAGAGCTAAAGAGCATAGGCTCTCTAGTGCAAGCACTAGAGAATGCACCGAAGTTATGAGGTGCAACAAGGAGGTCCCAATCCCCTATACCCAATATGCACTGGATTTATCCGATGGTATCACCATAGAAACCACTTGATAACGTTGTTCCAATGGCTTATCGGCTAGCTGACGTGGTAGGGCAGCAGACTTCATTCGAAGTCCCAGCTACAACAATAATGTAGAAATAGCTTCATAGCTCAGTGATATAGTCACCACCCTCCTATCGATAGGTCCTAGGCTCGAGCGCCCGAGGTGTAGTTTTATTGTTCTTTCTTTTTCTTCATGCGTAGCCATTGCCAAAGGGCCACATTGGAGACAACCAAGCCCATGTCAATGGCCCACTTCGAATAGTGGGCTAAATACATGGAGAAAATAATGTAAAAAGCATATGGAACCCAATCGACTAGGTGGTAGTAGGACTTTTATAATGAAAACAAGAACTTATAGGCATGCTTGAACTCTAGACTTGACTAAAAGAATCGAATTAAACTGAAATATTTGACTGGTATGGTGTTCTTTTAGACCTCACTAGTCAGGCGAGATGTAGGATGTTGTCTTGTATTTGAGATTGTAGGTGTCTTTATCAGAAGTTAGGGTGCGAAATGTGGTAGAGTGCTTGATCATTTTTCACAGTATATATAGCTAGGATGATTTTAATAATTATTCAGGCTAGTCTAGTTTGACGAATCACTACAGGATACAGGAGGTTTGCCGAGTGTCACCTCAAAAACACACTCGACAAACGACACTCGGCGAGGTTTTAACGGCAAAGAGCGTTTGCCGATTGTCAATCAATCGTCGGGCACTCGCCAAAGACTATGCCGAAAGTGCCAAAAAACACTTGGCAAATATTTTTGGAAAAATAAAAAAAAAACAAGTCGCCGGCGACACCACCACGTTGTCGCCGCCGCCACCACAGCCGCCGGCCACCACCACCACCACCAAAGCCGCCGCCGCCACCACCACGCCCCGCCACCGCCACCGCCGCCGCCGCCACCACCACCACCACCACCACCACCACCACCACCACACCCGCCGCCGATTCTGACCGCCACCGCCGGATCCAGAGAGGGAGGGTCGGATCCGACCGGGAGAAGAAGAAGGGGAGGGGGAGGGCCCGCCGCCAGATCCGGCCGCCACCGGCCTGATCCGGGAGAGGGAGGGCCGGATCGCCAGTGAAGAAGAAGAAGGAGGAGGGAGGAGCGCCGTGCTGGGAAGAAGGAGGGAGGGACGCCCACGGGGAAGAAGAAGGGGAAGGGAGGCGGGGGGAGGTGCAAGGTGGTAGGGAGAGGAGGGGTGTTGGGGCCAGGAGAGGAGGGCGCCTGGTAAGAAGGGAGGGGAGGGGCGCCCGCCGGGGAAGAAGAAGGGGGAGGGGGAGGGGCGGGGCGCCTGCCGGGGAAGAAGAAGGGAGAGGAGGGGCGCTGGGGCCGGGAGGGGAGGAGTGCTGGGGAAGAAGAAGGGCGGGGTGCTCGGGAGGAGCGCTGGGGCCAGTTAATTAAGTAGCATTTTGTCCTTTGCCGAGTGTCCTAGATCTAGGCACTCGGCAAAGGTTTTTTTTTATTTTTTTCTCCTTGCTTTTTAGATTTTTTTTTATTTCTTTGCCGAGTGCAAAAAAGAAAACACTGGGCAAACACCCTGTTTGTCGAGTGTTTTTTTTTGACACTCGGCAAACCCCCTTTTTGCCGAGTTTTTTTTGCTGAGTGTTTTTAGCGCAGCACTCGACAAAGAACTTGTTCGCCGAGTGCCCGAGGGAATACACTCGGCAAATATAAAAACACTAAGCAAATTTGACGTTTCCGGTAGTGAATGTGTGAATGAAATTGAACCAACCAATGCAAATTCTCGCTTGTGATCCGCCGTTGCTCGATCTTCAACCACAGCACATGCACACCGAACAAGGGTTTCCGTATGTCAACAATAATGTGGAAGGAACTTTTTGGGTTAGTTGATGGTCCAATCACTACAGGAAAACGCCTCTTTGCCGACTGCTTGCCCCGGTCGGCAAAGGCATAAACCCAGTCGGCAAAGGCTTTGCCGACCGCAAAGCCACGTGGCGATCGGCAAAAAGCAATCGGCAAAGC